CCAGGTTTTCGTTTCTGACTATTTCTCACATTCATTTCCTTTAACATTTTTGAAATTGTAAGATTTTTGATTATCATTTTTAGTTAGACATGAAATTAAATAAATGAATGCACGAGTTTTAAGGTTTAAATTTTAATAAATGTAAATTAAAATGGCGAATAGAAAGATTCAGAAGCATTTCTTTTAGGGGAACTTTTGGCACTTGCGATCTCCATTTGGAAATTCCCAAAAAGAAAAAGTGGAATTGTTGGCTGCTGTTAAACCTAAAAATGTATGTTGTGTTTGTGCTAGAGAAGAGAACTGTGGCTGTTTGATGTCTCATCCAGATGACAGACATTTAAAGTTGTTTGTGAGCTGCAATTGAAAAGTGTTTAGGAAATTTCTTGTGGTGAAGTCAAACTTGTGGCCTGTGTGGCCACAGGTGTTAATCAGTCACCTTTCTCACTCATTATGTGTTAACAGACCTCTCTGCTGGAGGTTTCTTCTTTTAACAGGTTTCTTCCTGTTAAAAGGGAGTTTTTACTTCCCACTGTTGCCAAAGTGGGACAGTGGAACGAAGGGGCTCATAGCTTGCTAGAAGCTAGAAGCTTCTTTAAGCCATACTCGCGTCTTTTGATTTGTTTATTGAGCCTGTTCGGCTCATTTGTGGTTTAGTAGAGTGATTGTAGGTGAGGTCACTCTGCAGAAAGCAGTTAATGCTCAATAATAAAAATGCAGATAAAAGACTGTGAGATGTATTGATGAGCACTTGTAGAGTAGTTGGCACCATTTGTATGCATTTAGTTTTCCTATTACTGGGAGTATTTGTTTGACTGAGGTCAGTCCAGCTGCATCATCTTAATATTTATTGGACTCATTCTAAGGTTTGTTATCTGCAGACTTTAACCAAACTTTGTTTGATTTGATTTGACAAGAAACCATTCTGAACACCACACGCTGAAAATCTTCTGTCTTTGACCGTGTATCCTTTCTTTTTACACTTAAGACTCTCCAAATATGTCTCATTAATATAAATGCTTATTCAGTAAGTAAAAATAGTAGCACTTGTCATCTGGGTTTTATTTGCTCTGCTGGAAGAGATGGCAGTGAAACCTGTCAAACATGTTTTTGTGTCACTGAAAAGTCCCACTGGGAGCAGTAAAACACTGTTGAAACACATGCATGCACACATCACAGCCCTGACTGTGGGTGACTTTACACTTTGCGACTTTGAATGCTGCCATGTTAGATTGTGTGTGTTATTACATGTATGTGCGTTTTGTGCTACTCGACTGCTGGGGACAGTTTTCATTGAGCCTTTTTTTTTTATAAATGAAATGAAAGGAAACACTGCTGCTTGCAGTGCCATCACACACAGCGTCTCTAAAGTTCATTAAGCATAACTAAAACTTGGATGATTTCTGATGTAAACAGGAAATGCTTTGCCTTATTCATAGAGGGTAAAACAGTCAATAAAGTTATTCGTGGTTAACTCATGGTCTACAGTGCTGGGTGAACACTGACCTTTGACTTCTAACAGGAAGATAAATCTAACGCTAAAATGAAAACTAAAATAAAACAAACCTCTTAATATTCTGAAATGGAAATTTTGAAATACCCATTTCCAAATTTGTCGATTAAACTATAACAATGAATGAATGTTTGATTGTGGCACAAGCGTCTCCCTAAGCAAAACAAACTTAAAGTAGACTGAATTATTACAAAAATGCATTTTTGTAACGTTTTCCTCTTAAAACACTGACATTTTCATGTGTCTCATGAAGTATGAGTGTAATGCTAGAAATACTACATGTACACGTCAGAGACTAAAAATGTGTCTTCAAGTGGTTTTAGAGATGTGAAATGTTGGCGAGGTCTCAGTTTGAAGAGGGAGAAGGCCCAGTCTCCTCTGCTGTCGTCTGCTTCTTGGTACCAGAAGTATCTGATCAACTGACTGTAACGATCTATTAGCAGGACGCCCAGTTAAGAGTTCAGAAAGGTAAGAGGGTCCCAATCTAGTTCGTGAGTAAAGCAGTAGTAAAGATACTTTTGTGACGACTAGTTTCCCCTTTGTAGCCTTGTAACCAGCAGCATACGTCTCACATCATTAGTGAAGCTCTGAACAGGCGTTGGAACGATTTTGTGTGTAGCTGCCTTGATGGTGGACACGATGAAATTTGGGGGACACAGAAGGATCCAAGAACGGGATTGTTATTGAGTTCCTGTTGTGCTTTTTGCTGTGAAAGTGTAGGACGTCACGTTTACACCCACAGACCTGCCTCACTGTGGTATTGGAGGCTAATCTGAAGAGCTCTGACCCTCGGCCTTTGACCCCCCCCTCCTAGAGCAAAGACCTTTTCCTCTCCCCTCTCCTCCACCACCTCCTTGAGGACCTCACTTTTCATTTTTTTGGCTTCTTTCCTTTCTTCTTGTCTTTCTCTTTGCTCCATTGTCCTGCTGTGGACTGGAGCAGAGCTTGGATTTAATGCCTTCACAGCTGAGGGAACCTCATCACCTTCAGGTTTTATATTCAACCTTGGGCATTTTCAAGCTGCATTGACAATGGCTTTCCATCTTTGCGCATCAACGCGGACTCGGGGGGGACGTCTCAAAGCAGATTTCTTTCTTGTTTCGTTAATTTATGTTTATTTTAAGCTGTGCAGTTTGACACTTAAATTCGTCTTGTGCACTTAAAATTGCCTTTACTTTGTTTTTTATGCATATATCTGTAGCTAACAACAGTCTAGTTCAACATTATTGTTTTCACTACTTTGCCTAATGACAAAACATATATTATAAAAATAACATCTTAATTTTTCGAAGCAGCTGAACAGATATGTCAAAGGCAGGCAAACCCACATGTAAGTAAAAAAAGGTGATACTTAAAACTGAAAAGATATAACAGACGAGCGATGCAGCACATAAGTAAATGTGACGCATTTTGTTGTGCTGTCCATCCGCCCACCCATCCATCTTCTTTTCCCGCCCATTCTTAACTTGTTGCCATGGTTTCAGCCAATGGTGTAGGCTGTTGGTTGGCAGGTGGTGACGCCAGAGGTCAAACAGGTTCAGTGGCCGTGGCCTGATGGGGGGTTGGGATATATTTGTCTGTGGGGGTGATGGGTTGACAACGGGAAGGATAATGAGGGGCTAATGTGTTGATAAAGTTGAACTTTGGTGTAGTCGGTGGTATTTAAACATTGTAACATTTGGACAGGTCTGTCCAAAAAAAAAAAAAAAAAGTATTTGTTTGGTTTGGAGATGGTGACGTAGCTGATAGCCAAGCACTCATCGAGGATCAAAAGGGTTTTTTCTTTCTTTTTTGGTGAGGTGGGGGAATGGAGTATGGATGGAGGATGTCAGGTATTCTATATGTACAAAAGGCTATTCATCTGTGCTCCAGCCTCCTGGGGGGTTAGGCTGGCGTTTAGTATGGGGGTTGGCCGTTTAAAGCTACTGATGCTCAGTTGGGTGGGATGCATGGTTCCTAAAGACGGTAAAGATAGAAGAATGATTGGCTAAAGGTTTTTGAGTTACTTAGCCAAATAAAATAACCATTCTAACATTAAAAGATGCCACTAGCATGATTCTTCAATATAAACGGCTTCATTAAAAGTGAAAGATGTAGCAGATAGAGTAGTCTTGAGTAAGGATGAAAATGAGGAACCATCATAGGGAGGGAAGGTTCATGCCTGTGGAAATCTATCCACTGGTGAACTGGTTAAAGAAGAGATGTGGGCAGGAAAAACAGATCTGTTCACACATTTTTAAAAAAGCTGATACAAATGGGTTTATTAGAGGTGGAAAAATGTGTCGGACTATGGTTCTCTCATTGTGTGTGGGTGGTGTGGCAAGATCCTGGTTTACTACTCTTCAGGTCGAGGTGATATAGGACAGATCTATATGAGAAATGCAGAGAATTTCATTTTCTGACATGTTCAGATAGAGACGATTTAAAAAGCTTTGTTTTGAAAATAGCATGTAGGTGAGTTTGGCAGAGTCAATATTGAGTCATTGATGACAAACAGTTGCAGAATGGAATTTCAAACCTTCACTGTAATTAGTATTTCAGTTAAATTGCCATGTTTATTAGCTGCAAACTTGCTTTAATCACTGGAGATGGTGTTTCTTTAGTTTTACCAATGCTGTCTCGTCCTATTGTAAAATATCGTTGGCAGTAGTTTCAAAATACTCGGTTTGTCTTATTGTGAAGCTCCATCCACTGATGTGTGGATGAGACATTGATGCAGACTTGGAATCATTTTGGCTGGTCTGCTATTCCTGGGAAAGTTCACCACTGATCCAAATTGTCTCTACTTGTGGATAGTGGCTGTCATCATAGTTCGCTGGAGTCCCACAGCCTTAGAAATGGCTTTGTTTCTCCGCTGTTCTTGGGTTTCTTTAAATGATAGAAAATCATTTAAGAGCTGCGTGTGTGTGTGTGTGTGTGTGTGTGTGTGTGTGCGCATTTTACCCCACTTTGGGTGCCACAAATGTCGTGGACTGAACACTGTCGGTCAGTCTGTACACACCTCCATCCATTTTCTTAACCACTCAGCTGGTTTAGGCTCATTTTTGCAATAGGGTCCATGCCCTACACCCTGGACAGGTCGCCAGTCTGTTGCAGGTCACCACAGTGTTGTAGAGAAACCGAACTGTTCGCTGCCAGAACAGCAAATGTGCATCTTTAGATCTGTAGCTCACAGGGTTTGTTTCTAAGTGATATAAACTTCTTCATCTGAACTAATAACAGCAAAGAAGGTTGTTGCACTGTTTTGGTTTAGTGTTGGACCAAAAGGCTATCTTGCTTTCATCACCTGTTTGTCACTCAGGACACGTTCTGGCTTCATTCAGCAGCTTCTTCTTCCTGTCACTCTCTTGTATCTCTGAGTTACACACACACACACACACACACACACACACACACACACACACACTCACTTTCATTCTCTTGAAACTTTTAAAAGCTTTGTTCTGTTTGCAAAGCGTTAATATTTCCTCAAATCTTCTTCTCTCCACAGAACCAGGAAACTCCAGATCAGAAACATTCCACCTCACCTGCAGTGGGAGGTTAGTTCCCATTTCCTTTATTTTTTTAAGGTTATAACGTACAAATTTTATGGCTGAGACTTCAGATGGCCACATCACATTACGAATACGTTGCTTGCATATGTGTAAACTGTTGCCCAGGTAAAAGTGAAACAGTGTGTGCAAAATGGCCACTACTTTCTCTCCCATCCAAGCCATTCTTTTGTGTGTTAATGTTCCAGGTGCTTAAACACAGGGCAAGGGTGTCAGACAGACCTGGGTTTTCCAGGTCTGTCTGACAAAAAAATAAAAAATAAAAAATTGAAACAGCAGTCGTAGGTTCGAGTCCCGACTGGGGCATCTGTATGAAGTAAGATTCCTAGGCTACACTAACCCCATGCTAACCAAGCCTACCTCAGACATGCCCGGATTAACAATGTCTGCGTCAGGTGACCCTGATGAGAAGTGGGCCACTGGAGCAAGAAGGCATCGGTGGGAAAGAGACAAAAATAGGGCACTGTTGGAATGCTACATGAATAGGATGAGCTAGGCGAGTGGCTCCTGGAAATCCCAGGAACAACATCTAAGATCTCTGTGCAGAAGAGCGCAGTCTGTGCCGAACCCTCAGGCTCCCAGAGCTCTGGTAGAGACCCTAGCTTGAAGGATATATATGTGTGTATATAATGCAAACAGAAATGGAATGGAAAGAAGAGTGCAGAAGGCAAAACTACAGACTTTTCTTCCCCTGTTAGGCTTTAAATCTGTTGATTCATCAAACATGACTGACTACAGAAGAATGGAAAGTGGAAGGATCGCTGTTCCCTACATTTGGTGTGTAGCTCTGTGCACTTTCATTGTTTTTGTGAGGGCGTGGCACACCCGTCTGCCTCTTCTGGCAAGCGAGCGCCTGTGGGAGTGGCTCAGTGTGTGCATGTGCGTATGTGTACGTGAATACGAGCCAGACTTCTGCCTTTGTCCACGTGAGGGCAACGTCTCAATGCAAAGTTGACTGAAACGTGCTTTAAATCAACCTTTACAAACATCCAGAATTTACAGGCGCGCATGATTTAACCTTAGAATCACAGTTTTTGGGGTCAGGCATTTACGACATCATCATCTATGTATGAATGTAAAATAATGAAAGTTCAGTAAGTATGTTGGGTTTAATAGTTTGCTGTTAATACATTTAAGTTGAAAAATTTCAAAGGGGAAAAAAAACAATCCAGCTTTATCCTGGTAAATTTAGAGCTTTAAGTTTGTGCAAATATGTGAAAGTCTGTCTTTGGGGTGGAGTTGGGGAATCATGATGACTCGTTTGCTTTTAAATCTCCTCAATTATTACTGGTGTGATCTCAGGTTATATTTACATGTTTAACATTTGTAGCTGATTGTCCAGCAGCCTCATTTTATTTCTCTCTCAATACTTTTCTGCTAAATTTATCTTGATTTTTCACAGAAATGAAAACAAAGTCATTTTGTTGTCAAAGAGTGAGCAGCTGAGTGGTGTTATTCTTCGTTTATTGTGTCTTTTGCTCCTGAGCTGACTCTTTAGGTGGTTTGATATAAGGTCAAGTCCAGGATGTTGGAATATTTCCTGCAGACCTGTCAACAAACACATAAATGATGAAATATCTTATTTAAGTGAATGCGTGTCTTATATTACTCTACACATATGTTTGTCAAATAATCATTTGTGCTAACAAAAAGATGTTTTTTAATTGAATGACATTGTCTAGGATTTCTTTAAAATGGTTTTGTGCTGGGATTTTATAGC